TTAGCTTGAATGACTGTTGAGATGGTTAGAGTGAGCATGTGCGCTGCTCTGTATCTGCCACTGGTCTTCTAGGTGTAGGCTTAACGGAAGAAAAGCTCACCGTAGAGCTGAAGGGAGCAGGGAAGCAGAGAGCAATCCCCGGTTATTCTGGTGCTGTGGCAAAGGAGAGAATGAAGTTCTTCATCTTGGGAGTGGTTGTTTACATATTTGAGGTAAAATGAGCATAAAAAGACCAAAGCTGTTTTTTTAAAAGCCTTTTATAGTTGTTAGAAGGACGATATTTATTTTCATTCTAGGACAACTTGTGGAAAAGTTACTTAATGCAAAAAAAAAAAAAGTAATTTCTTTTCCAAGTTAGCAATATTAATCAATCAGACTTGTGAAGAGCTCTGTTGCCAAATTAAATTCATAGCGTTATCCTTGTTGTTTTTACAGGCAGACTCCTAATAAATAGCAAGTCTTTTTTTTTTTTTTTTTTCTTTTTTCTTTTTGCTATTCACATCTTTCTTAAATACGTAAATCGTCTGTTAATTCCATGTGTGTGAACTGAGGCCTGTTTGTGCTGATGGTGGAGAAATGCCCCTGTGACTTGTCACACTTGCCCACTTTGAGTGGGAGAAACTTAGGGGTCTCATGAGTTGTGTTTTTGGCTGGGAACAGGAGTTCACCTTTACATGGGACAGTGTCTGTGACCTGCTCAGAGGAGAGGAGGGAATCCAAGAGCAAGAATGGTTAATAGATCCAGCTAATACATCTTAGTTAATAGATCCATTAATGTCAAAGATGACTAATAGAGAACTACTTAAAACAGGATGCCTTTGGAAAGAGCATGCGTTTCAGATGCATCTTGCTCATGTGCTCTGGGAAAGCAGAGGTTTTGTTTGTTTATTTTTCCCCAGAAAGTCAGGATGAGTTTTGATGGGGTTTCAAGGTTGGTGGTGGGGTATCGCCACGTCCAGGAGCCCGGCATTTCAAGGACTGTCACATCCCTCAGGTCTATCTTGCAGATCATGTTTGGGGATAGCTTGGCCGCCTGTCCTAATGCTGAGGTATGCGCAGGTTGCTGCTCATAGCTCTGGGTTTGTGCGCCACAGCAGCGCACAGTATGTATGTATGTGTGTGTGTGTGTGTGTATAAAAAAATGTATTCTAGAACAATTTGGGTGACATGAGTACTTGAGTGTGGTGCTGTTTTGGTCCTCTGTTCCGAAATCAGTGGGAGTGGTGACAGGTTCTTCGGGACAGGCTCAGGAAGAAGAGGAAATAAAGAGATGGGGACTGACCAGTCTGGAGAAGGAATATGAAGAAAACAAGCAGCGTGTTGTGGTCCTTCTGCCAGGAGGCTTTTCAGAGGACAAAAGCGTGGTGGGATACGTCCAGAGAGGTTGGAGCTTTAAACAGGTTGCTTTGGGTGCAGTGCTTCTGGACACGGGCGTTCTCAGGGCCCAGGTGCTGGAGCTGAGGCGGGCGCTCGAAGCGCTGCGCTGCCTGGGTCGCCACACTGAGGCGCTCGCAGCGACGCGGGCCCAGCGAGGCCTCCGAGGCCTCGGGGAGCCTGGCAGTGGGGCAAGAGCAGCTCCGAGAAGAGCGTGACGTTTGGCTTCGGGATCATCCTGGAGTTGTTGCTCATTTTGATTTTAATAAAGGTTCGTGTGAGCCTGACGTGATGCACTGTGGTTTCCATCCCCTTTGTGTTTTGGAGGGGAGGCTTTTTCTGTGTTTTCTTCCATGTCAAGAGTCTTGTGGCAGTGGGAGGGGATGGTATCTTTGATGCTCCAGCCCTTTCAAACTTCTGTATTTTGTGTCTTTCTTCCTTTGGAATAAAACCAGTTCCTTTCTTACCTGATGTCCGTAGGTTTTTCCTGAGAGGAGCTGCATGGAAAGGGTGTCTCTTAGCAGGTTTTAGTCAGCATCCATGAAGCCAAGTAGCTCTGCTGAGCCCAATCTGCACCTGTGAGGGGAAGTGTCGAGCAGGGCTCGCATGTCTGCACCTCCGGGAAGATCATGTTGTGTTAATTAACGCTTAGTTTGCGTTTAGAAAGTATTATTTGTAGCTAAAAGCTGTTTATGTGTCTTTCAAACAAGCGTGGCTTTGCATTAGTTGACAATGCTTTTAATGCTTTTCATTTTTCTTTTAAGGCCTCCTTTTTTATGGAAGACTAACCTTTGAAAGGGGAGTGTTTCTTGGGGAGAGGTTTTTGTCTTTGATCTACTGTGTGCTTCAAAATACTGAAATGCAGAACTTTTTTTATGAAATACATTTTGTTTTTTTTGCGTTGTAAAATATAGCTATAGTTAACTTGCAAGTAAGTGACCTCAATGCGAAATTATCATCGGTGGAGTCTATGGAAATGCAGTTACTTCTCTCTGGCATAGAGCGCCACCGCAGTGCAAGTCCCACACTGCCCAGTGATGTAACGTTTGCCTGCTTTTAATTAGCACAAAGTCCTGCTTTACCTTGCTGTCTTTCCCCCCTCACTTGTGAAGACGGAGTGCCAAAAGCAGCCGTCCCCTGCCCTCAGAGCGCCACCAGCGCACACTGGTTGTGACCAAGATTAACAAACACGCTGTAAACATGAGGGCCGTTTTCAACCTGCAGCAGGTGGCTCCATCCCCCGGCGCAGTCCTGCTTCTACAGCCAACAGGTTCTTGGTTCCCTCCTGAGCGTCGCAGACGCGTGTTCGCTGCAGGAGGGGACGGGAGCCCTTCGGCGGTGGCCCTGCTCCATGGCCTGGTACCGCAGCCAGCCCCAAGCACCTGCTGCAGTTACAGAGAAACTTACGTCTCTCGCCGATTGCGATGTGCTGTGTGCTGTTACAGCATCTTGGTCTGTCTTTTGTCCCTTCAAGTTCCTATTCATTTCCTCTCAAGTCTGAAAAGTAACATTCTGGCGTTGGATTGTGCCTTCAGAAGCCTGTTTGTGGGCAAGGATCAAAGCCCAGAGACAGGGACTCTCGTGCCCGGGGCTGCCGTGCTCTCCTCCACCCCCACCTCGTTGACACCACGGCTGGGACAAGAGCCATGGAGTCCTACGTGGAGGATTCGTAACCGGAATGGCTTAAGTTGCAGGTCTTTACCTTTCCTATGGGAAACCAAACCCTTGCATTGAGCGATGCAGTTTCATCTTGTTTTATTCACGGAAAAACTGGGTATTGGTGGTGTTCCTGCAATTGCCCTTTTAAGGGAATTCTTCTAAAGGTTCATAATCAAGGTAATATGGTTTGAAAGAGAAAAATATCTGAAGTATTAGTCATCAATTTGGCAAACATCAGACTTTTATTTATTCTGCTAAAATGGAAAAAGGAGTTTGATAAACTCTGTTTAAAAAAAAAGCCGTCTCTGACAGTATATGATATTTTTCTTTAAGCCATTGAAAAACGTTGGACTGCCCCTTTCTCCTTCACAAAAAGTGATGCGGTAAGAGCAGAGTAAATACAGGCAGGAAAGAACAGAAAAAGTAAAATAAAACCTGATTATAGAATAGCCTCTTTGACAGGCAACACAATTAATCAGAACAGACTTGTAATCAGGGATGTGTTTACTTGCAGAAGTGTAACGTAAAAACTTTTCAAGGTGCTTTCTGAAATACAGGCAGAGAAATGCATAATCTTTTTGTTTTTTGTTAGCTTATGTTTACTACATAGTTCTCCACTTCATATGGGTCAAAATAAGCAATATGGGAATAGATAAGCAGTATTCCACCTATTTAGGTGAGTAGATGAGTCTACTTAATGCCATCACTGCCATCACCCACAATATTTTCAAGTTTCTTTTTTTAAAAAAAGGGCAGAACTTTAAAAACGAGTTTCTTCAAAACAAGGATGAGGAAAGAAACAATATCTGTTAGTGGCATTTAGTCGGCAATTTATTTGCATGTATTTTGCCTGTGTTTTTGAAGATGACGCATGCATGATATCCTGAAGTATCTGCAAGATAAAACCAGCAGGTTTCCAGTAGATTTTAACTAAGTCTTGCACTTCGGAACACTCCCGTTTTAGCCTGTAACCTGCTTTTCCAGGGTTTTCTAACCCTGAGCCCCATGCACACACGCACTCCAGTGCTTCAGTCTGAAAAAAATTATAAAAATTTTAACATGGAGATGGACAACAAACCCCAGATGTCGTCCTGTCCTTGCTTCTCTTATGAAAGATGATGATTTCTTGTCTACTTTGGAGTACAGAAATCCTGTGCCTTTTGTGCCATGAAGAACGGCCTGTTTACAGTCCATCAAATTCTGCCTATTTAAGTCACTGGGAAGAAGACCAAGAAGTCAAAATGTTTTATTTGCCAATTTTAATTGCAAGTTGTTTAGACTTGAGAAATATCTCATTGTCTGTGAATCTATTAAAATATTCATCACCACATGGGGGCGAGGGGGGAGTTTTTTCCCTCTCGGCAAAGTGGCGTCTATACTTCTCCATTCATTCCCATTTTCCTTTTAAGACTGCTATGCTCTATATGATCTTGTCAACCAAGGGCTTTGGTTTATTGTAGGTGTCATTTTTTTCCCATGTATTGACCTCGTATTGGCTGGAGGAGAAGGCCTCTGCTTTTTCCTTGCACTCTTGATGCTGTTAGAGCATCGAAGGGAGTTGGAGAAGGAAAGAGCTGAGTGTTAGTGTGTCGCCCAAGTCTAAAACTTTTAGAAACTTACTGTAGTGGTGTTAGAACATCAGATACAGCTTTCCCTCCCTGCCCCCCCCACGCCCTTACGAAAAATAGTAAATTATGATTGGTCTGTTTGATAGCTTAGGATTTATTTTCCTAAATTCTAAAATGAATTTATTAGATGCCTTTACCCCCTTGAATTTTGCTCTCTGCACAGGGTGTATTTTTGTAGCATTTCAGTAACTTTCAGGTGAATGAGTTTCATACTTACTATGTGTTTATAATATTGTGAGTAGCACGTTTTCCTGCTAAATGGGGATTTCAAAACTGATGAACCAATAAAATATTAATTACTAATAATTAATATAATTAACTGTTTCAAATTATTTACAGGTACATCCACCTTTATGGAAGCATTAGCAGCCAATGGTACAAGCAACATACAGTCATCTGTAACGGGAGTGTCAGCCAGCAAACGGAGATTCATCGATGACAGGAGAGATCAGCCCTTTGATAAAAGGCTGCGCTTCAGCGTGAGGCAAACGGAGAGCGCCTACCGGTACAGAGACATTGTTGTCAGAAAACAAGATGGGTTCACACACATTTTGCTATCAACGAAATCATCTGAAAATAATTCACTAAATCCAGAGGTGAGAACAATATGGAATTCTGGGGGGAGGATGCGGAAAGAATCCCAAGTGTCTGCAGCCCCTTATTGAAGCACAAGCGTAGGCGAAACTCGATTTGAGGTGGTGCTTGCAGCCTATTCTGCATTTGGTTCTGTTTTGTTACTCTTTGACAACTTGATTTTTAGTATAATTGAGTTTTATTTATTAACTTTGTAAACTACATTATCTGAATATTTAGATGTACTGTCTTATTATAAATGTGCTGATTTATTAGGTGCAACTTGGAGCAAACTTGAGCTTGATTTAAGGTGCTTTTTCTGAACTGGTTGCATATGCCATCTGCTGTCCAAATTATAGAAATGCTGAATGAATGCTGTAGTTACAGCTAACACCTAATAGATCTTTTCTTAATGATTTCATTATCTTAGCCTAATTACATTTTTTTTTGAGATGCAAAGCATTTAATAGTGTGGTACTTTATTATTCTTGGTTAATGAAAAAGTAAACTTTTTAAATATAATTGTTGAGTGGAAGCAATTAGAGATGTGAAAGATTCAGATCTGTCATGGGGAAAGAAGTTTTTAATAATACAATAAAAAAAAGATTCTGATTAAATTTTGATGATTTTTCAGGTGATGAAGGAAGTCCAAAGTGCACTGAACACAGCAGCTGCAGATGACAGTAAACTTGTGCTGTTCAGTGCAGTTGGTAGCATTTTCTGCTGTGGTCTCGATTTTATTTATTTTATACGACGTTTAACAGATGATAGAAAAAAGGAAAGCACTAAGATGGCAGAAGCTATTAGGTATGTAAAATTATCTTCAGTCACCTGAGTGGGTGTTATTCATTGTCTAGTCTAGCTTGTTTTATCTTCTGATAAAAATATAACTATACTCTCTCAAAAGCCTTTAATTCATTGAGAGCTCAAATATTCACCTGCTGTGTGATATGCGGAACTTCTTCATACTGCCTCTCTACCTGGGTTGTCATTTCATGCATCACCATTTATGCTATTAGAATTTAACTATGAAATACTGCTGTTATAATATTTCTGTAGCTGAAACTGGTTTTGAAGACTCAAACTCTGGGGCCCTTTTACGTACATAAACACAAGACATGCATCTTGTATTTATGGGTAACCTAATATATACCAGTATATACAAGTATTTATGAGTAACCTGTACACGGAGCAGTGCAACGATGGATGTTCTGGATGAGATCAGTGCTAGTGAACAGCATCCCAACACTAGCTACCAAATCTTATATTTAAATAAAATGGGATGACCAGCTACAGACTAGAGGAGTTTTTATATGAGGATTAAAAAAAATAAACCATGGATCATAGAGAAGCTTTTTCATTCTATGCAAAGTAGTTTATCCAGTGTGGTTTTGAAGGCCTGAGATCCCGGATTAGCTTTTGTTTTCTTCAGAATGTCTCTATTCCCTCAGAGACCTCAATGTTTCAGTGACAGATTATCTATGTTTTATTGTTGTTATCAATATTTATGTCCCTGAAAGGGGGACATGGCAACATTTAAAGCCTGCTTTTGTGTAGGCACAGTTGGCTGATGGAATAATGACAGTAATATTTTTCAAAGGAAAACTTCCAGTCATCCGTACATGTTCTGCTCGTGCAGAGACTTCAGATGCTGGCAGCGCGCAGAGGCTTTTAACTGTGAGCTTCTGCCATTATATTTAATTCAGGCTCTTCCAAAGCCCCCATCAGGTCGCACCACTGCTTGTTAATCCAGCAGAAAAATGTAGAGGTGAATTAAAGTACCAAACAGATGCTCTGCAAATATAATAATGGTATTTTTCATATATATACTCAAGCTTGTCCTCTGTGGAGCAATCAGACGTGATTACTGGTGTTACCCTGAGTCCCTGGGTGGGCTCTTTGGCTGGCTGCTTGGATAGGGTGGTTCCTAGAGAGTTTGTATCGCTCAGAAGTAATGAATTAGTGGGAGGCAGGGTAATCGTGAGCAATGTACAGAGCAGAGAGCAAAGAGCAAGCGGGCCATGAGGAGGGGTAGGTGCCCTGCGGTCAGACGGGGCAGCTGCAGCCCCTGAGGCACCCACTTGTGCCTCCACAGCACCCAGCAGGGCCCTGTCAGTCGCACGGGGAGGCACCGCTGCGCGGGCCCCTGCCAGGAGGTACCCGGGGAATGTGGGGGCTGCGCTGAGTCGCCGCGAGCGGCGGCAGGAACGGCCTGTGGGCAGAGCCCTGGCTCTGGGGGTGAGTCTGTGCCAAGCTCTCGAGGGCTGGGACGTTTTACTGCCACCAGGTGTAGTGAGCGCACGTTTTTGTTTCTCTTCAGGAATTTTGTGAACACTTTTATTCAGTTTAAGAAGCCCATCATTGTAGCAGTGAACGGCCCAGCTATTGGACTCGGCGCGTCTATATTGCCGCTGTGCGACGTGGTCTGGGCCAACGAGAAGGCTTGGTTCCAGACCCCATACACTACATTCGGACAGAGTCCAGATGGATGTTCCTCCCTCACGTTCCCCCGGATAATGGGCTTGGCTTCTGTAAGTAGCTTGTGGGGCAGGGGGTGGCAGCAGCTCAGTGCAGTGGTGAGAGGTTATCTCGAGCTATTTTAAGGGTTGTTTTTGTTTTTGTTTGCTGTTTTATTCTCTTGTTTTTCCTCTCTCTCTCTCTCTCTCTCTCGCTCTCTCTCTCATCCAAACTTTTCATGAGAAAACGGTATTTATACCTTCTTTGCTGGACGCTTTTGCAACTGGTTTTCGAGTCAGCACACGACCCGGGCAGTGAGCAGGGGCCTCCTCAGGACCCCGCTCCGAGGCGCAGTCGCTCGCTCGCGACCAGCACCATGGCGTCGGCGCCGGGCGCCCTCGGTGCCACCGTGCGGAGCGGGGTGTGCGGCTGCGGCAGCACCGGCGTGCTGGGTCTGCCCGGCCGGGGAGGACTCTGCCAGTGCCTGGTGTTGGTGGGGCCTGATGGAGACGGTCCCGTCTTTTTTTCCTTTGCGAAGGAATTATTTTTTTCCAGTTTTCTGCTGTCCGTTTACACTGTTGCTGAATTGAAAAAGGGTAACTTTTTGTTTTGAAATGGTGAAGAATTACGTTATTGCTGAAACTACAAGCTACATGTTATTTAGTTTTGGGGGTTTTTGCTTTCCAAATAGATGAAAGAATGAAATATAATCAAAAGCTATTTAAAAGCCACTTAGCTGTATTATTTTCAGGTTGTTTACTATTTTTATACTGCATTCACTGAAAATTTAGACTTCCATCCCATTCCAATTTGAAAATGAATTGTAACAATACCAAACAGGTGCCTACAGCAACATGTAAATGTATCGTAAAAAAAAAATTTCCATGTAGACATTTATTGATTAAGAGATGAGATATAAATACATTGGACATATTAAAAGCACCTAAAGTTTGAGCAGCTCTTGTGACTAAGTGTATAATGTCTGGATTTAGTTATTAGAAGAAAACAGAAAGGGTAAATGAAATAGATTAATAAAGTTATAAAACTGTCTTTAATATTTTAGCATGTTTCAAACTACTGATTGTTCCTTTCCCTTTTTATTTGGCCATCCATCCGTCCACCCGTTCATCCATCCATCCATCCCCATTCTTCAGAGACTTGTGGTTGTTATTTTATTTTGTTTTTTAGAAACTGTGCTTTTATACAAGCAGCTCTTCCCCAGTATATGTTCATGTGCTCGGTGGCTGCTCTCATTTTGATAACTTAGAGGAGATGTTGCCGTCTGTGAAAGCTTCCCGTCGTCACGCTTCCATAGTGCTCGGGAGCTGTTTCAGTGCAGACGGGAAGGGCAGTGGGGTGAAGTCCAGGCCGATGCTCTCCCACCGCCCTTGCCCTTGACATGGCAGCAACATCAGTGCTGTAATGAACATGGGCACGAAATTGAAGTTATTACTCGGTGAACTTCATTAGCAGACTGAAATTTCTGAAGACAAAGTCTGCTTTCTATCCGTTAGAAGGGACAGAGAAGTCAGTAGAAATGTGCAATGGCAAGAATGGGATAGGAAATAAGCCAAAACAAAAACAAATTAAATACATCATATGAAAGAAATGTATCCATCTGTAGCCATCACAAAAATTGTCATAAATATATTAATTCTGAGATATTAGTTCCACTTTTAATTGTTTTTATTCAGATTCAATGCTGCCTGTTCATGATCAGAGCTAAGTGAAAGTCTCCAGGGAAGATATTTCCAATGATACTGAGCTTGTGAGGTCAGTCTTGACTGTTGAGCAGGAAGATGTTTTTCACAGATCACGTTTGACACAGAATTCAGGATCACAGGAAGTCTGAAGCCAAGACCTTAGAGTTCACAACTGGTTCTGTATTAGGAGTATCAAGAATTTTAGAAGAATTCTGAAACTGCTCCTGAGCCTTTAGAGCAGCCTACACTAGAGCGAGGTGAGGTCTGTTCGGGGGGACGTGTTCTCCTGCGTGCGCCGGCTGTGCCGTTGGCCGCTTGCTGAGGACGCGCCGGCTGAGGCGTCGCCGCTGCGCTCGGCGCTCCCTGCGCGGCCCCGGCTGGGCCTCTCCCCTGCAGCTGCCCCTCGGGAGCCGGCAGGAGAGGGACAGAGTAGAAAACGAGAGTTAACAGCGACATGGTTTCAATTAGCAGTGAGATATTTTTATCATCTTCGTTTTTGTGTTCTTTTTCCCCCCGCTTTTTTATATCCTAATTCTTGGTATTTCTTGGTATTGATTTCTCACTACAGATGCAAGACACAATCCAATTATTGAAATTTCTTAGTAGTGGGTCTCCCTGGATCTGCGTACAGATCCAGAGTGATAGGCCAGAGCAAAACACTTGCTTTGAGAAACCTGTTAGCCGAGGACCCTAACGAGAGCGTGGATTTCTTAATTGCTTAACAATTAAGATGATCCCCCCGTTATCATTTGTTGTTTTTAATGTTAAAAAAAAAAAAAAAAAAAAAGAAAAAAACTTTCTTAGTATCTACTGAGTTTAGGAAGAAAAAAATGTAAGGGTGCTTTGGCATTCATTTCTTTCCCCATCACCAAAGTTACACGTGAAGAGAGTATAGAATTTACCACTTGACTTTACATTTCTGAACTTCTGAAACTCCAGCAGATTAACTTGGCATTTTGGTCCTTGGTACAACTGCTGAGTATCCTTTAATATAATTCTGAAAGATGTTTCCTATATCTCCTTAGGAAAATTATTCCTATTTTGAGCAACATGTTAGTATTATTTACTGGCTAGAGTTTCAAGTTAGTGTGTTCATACACATTCTAGAAAATTAAAGACATAATGACAGTAGTTGATGAACCTTTTATATATGTTCACTTTTACCGGAATGTTTCACAGAAGGTAGAACTAAAAGGATATATAAATTGTGCCTTTAGTTTGACTTTTTTTTTTCTTTTGAACAAGTGTGAATCACACCTTACGCGAGACCTGCGTAAGAGACCATGGTGCCCTTCATGGAAAAGCTCCCAGGGAGCAGCTCTTTGTGTGCCCACAGCCTGGGACCAGCAAACAAGCTCTCCCAGGACCCCCAGTTTGTGCTTCAGCACTAGTGATCCAGCTCCAAGCCCTGCATTTCCTCTTCAAAAGGGCAGTACTAAGAACATAATCTACACTAATGGAACATTTGAAATAATACTTAACTAAAAGTTGCTATCGCAATTAGCAATTATTATTCAGCATTTTGTTCTAAGAAATGCTACACCTGTTGGCTTTGGGTTCTTTTTATTTTATTTGTTTTTTGATGTTTTCTAACAAAAACTGCCTCATTTCCCATAGTCCAGAAGACCAGTGATGGCTTTGTCAAAGTTTCAGTGTAAATTACTCTTTCAGAGGCAGTAGAAATGATATTTTGAGTTGGTAATTACTGTAAATTTTCATCTTCAGTGACTGTTTCTGTGCAGATACCAGTTCGAACAAAAAACTTAACCACGTGTAAGAAACTTCACTAAAACTCAAATTAAAGCACATGTATCAATGGCTGTAGGGTGAGATTTTTAACACAAGAAACTGTTAAAACAGTGAAATGTGTGATAATTACAGCTCAAATATTATAAAACAAGATTCAAAACAAGAGCTCTTACTGTATAGACTGTATTATTCTGTTCAGTATATTTTTAGGTTCATGCTTTTAAACTGTGTGTAAGATCTTATTGGAAAGAATGCTATTTAAAAGAAGAACAATATTGTATTAGCTTTTGAAAGAATTTCAGTTGAATACTGACCTTCTGAGTAACATGGGAATATTTCCTTTCCATGAATTTGGTCATGAATTGGAATATGTCCCCTTCACTTCAGTAGTCCAGCTATGTCAAATGTTATATTCTAAATGAAATGCTGTATTGATGGAGACTGTTGAGCAGTCTTGAAAATAAACTTAGGTTTCAAAAAAATGATAGTAGTAAAAAGCACTTTAGCTGCAGAATACTTAAATAAATCAATAATAAATACTTAACTGTGCTTTCCTTCCAAGATGGCAGTTCCCAAGAGGTCATCTGCCAAAACTGGATTATCTTCATAGTTTATAAATAATGTCCATTTTCAGAAAAGAGTAGGCTGTAGGTGACATCCTTGTTATTACAAAGAGTAACTTGATATCTGTTACTACGTCAAAGATTTCTCAGACATTGTGGCCTGTTACCACAGTTACTTCCAATTAATCAAATCGGCAACTTCAGGAAAACTCGAGCTGACGACGGCAGCTCACGAATGGCAAATGACAAAAGACCCTTTCATGTTTCCTGTTGAATCGTGTATTGTGAGACCTGTGCACCTTGAGACCTACCGACGCAGTGCAGGTGACACCCCGAACAGCCCATGTGTAGGCAAGGCTCCAGTAGCTGGAAGTAGTGGGAAGAGCCGTAACGAAACTGTGTCTTACCTAGTGCAGGCATTTTCCTTCTTTGTTTTGAACATTTTCCTTTAATGAGTTTTGCCTCATTACATTTCATACCAGAAGTAACTTTTTATCCCTCCAGGCCAATGAGATGTTGTTCAGTGGAAGGAAGCTGACCGCGCAGGAAGCTTGTGCCAAAGGACTCGTGTCTCAAGTGTTCTGGCCGGGAACATTCACACAGGAAGTAATGGTTCGAATTAAGGAACTTGTCACATGTAATTCAGTTGTAAGTTTCACTTATTTTCTTATGGTACACCTTTATAATTAGGGTATAAAATTAATCTAATTATTTTTATACTGCACCCTTTTTCTTAGAAAGACAGTTTTCATGGAACAAGGGCCACAACTTTGGGTTACACTGCCTTTAACAAATTTCTATATATATTTTTTAAGTGTCTTTCTGACCTCTTCTCTATCACATACCATTACTTTTTGTGTTGAATTACATTAAACAAACAGAGTTTGTCAGAAGTTCTTTTACTTGAAGTATAAATGATGTAAACAGTTGTTCTCTGAGCTGCATCGAATCACAGAAACCATGTCTCAACTTTTGTGCTCATGAGATTTATTTAAATTGTTCTACCAAAAAAAAGGTACCTATAATTAAAATACAGACGGTATCCAGCTCTCACTGGAGAAATGGGAACGGATGCCACTATCTGTAAAATAATAATAGTAGCAAAACTGTCTGGGGCTAATGTGAGTATGAAGAGAAATAGCCAAATAAATGGAAACTTCTTGCAGTTTTTTAACCACCTGCTTAGTCTTGAACAAAATCACACTGGTTTAGGGACTGGAGATCTATTCTACTTGCATCTAAACATATCTTCACATTTAAGAACCGCTTCTTCAATACATATCTTCTTTAAGTATCATATATAGTAGAAAATAAGAAATATTTACAAATGTAACAAAAACATAATCCTTGTGATTGTGCTGAAATTGCAATTTACCCATGATGCATAGTTCAAGAAGTCTGTCTGTCTTAGTTGACTGCACTCCTGGTACTGGCTAAAACTATATTAAAAAAGATATTTTCTTAAGGGAAAACAAAGAAACTTACAGTTTCAGTACAACTCAACTGTTCCATTCATTAGAAATTTTGTAGTTTGAGACAGATTAATAGTCTTTTAAATGAAAAAGGAGACTCAAGGTCTTTTGGTCTACTGTAAATGCTGGTCTTTAAGCTTCCGGGTCTTCCAGGTCATTAAAGCAGTCCTGGATAAGAGTGTTTTGAATCAATTTCCCTAAACCAGAATTTCTTTTGACTATACTGTAATGTTTGTAAGTATATTTTATACGTGCACATATGTGTGTGCACACTCATAAATGCCCTATCTAGGATTTTTAGCATGTCCATATTTTTGTGCTTTGGTAAATTAAGTTGGTAGCAGCGTAAAGGAAATGCCGTATGACTCCTTAAAAAAAGAACTGGGGGGAGACAGTATTTCCATGAACTGATATGCTTGTATTTACTGTCATCTTCACGGTTTGCCCCAAACAAGCCTGTATGTGTGCACGTCGCCGTACTGAAACACCTCTGTGGTTCTGTCCTAGGTACTTGAAGAATCCAAAGCTTTAGTCCGTAATGTCATGAAGGTGGACTTGGAACAAGCAAATGAAAAGGAGTGTGAAGTTTTGAAGAAAATCTGGGGCTCTGCGCAAGGGATGGACTCAATGTTAAAATATCTGCAGAAGAAAATTGATGAGTTCTGATGAGATGCCCCTTGACACTGGAATTGTATTTCTTGGACAGCAGGGCAAGCAAATCATGCCCATTAGAAAAAAATCAGAAAACAAAAACAACAGAAAAAACACACAGATAGAAACTTACCCCTTGCTCAGCTTGGGAACAGGAGTTGACCCTCCTACCATTTATTGTCAAGGGGCAGAAAAGTACTGTATCACTTAAATTTGAACAAAACTCCTTTCTCCCAGATTTTTTTAGATTATTATATGTATATGCACAAACACACACACGTGTGTGGGTGTGTATATTTATACACACATAAAATATCTTTTTATATATATATTAAAGTAATATGTGTGTGAGTGTGTGTGTAGACACACTCACACAAGCTAAAAAGCGATAGAGTGCACTACGAAACATCTCTTTTAATGCTCTAGTTTGTTATCTATGGCTAGTACTGTATCAAATAGAGAATGGATTAAAAAGTGAATGGTGTTGCATTATTTTCTGTGTGGCAGGGAAATCTGGAATAACGCTTTCTCCTTTTCCTTTTGTTTTTATTTTTTCCCTTCATTAGAACACAGAGGTGAAACGGGTATTAGCCAGCCCTTACTTTCACTGCCCAGTACGTCAGGGGAGACAGACGGCGCTGTCTCAGTAGAAGGCTGAGATACCTCAAGTAATGGAACATTGGAACAGAATGGAAAATAAAATAAAAGGGTATTTTTGAGAATTAAACCCCATTATGATTTAAAAAAATTACACTTATCCCAGAAAAGAGAGTGTGCTCAGGATTAATGCTAAGAAAACACTCTGGCCTTCTGGGGGGAGAGGTATAGAGGGGTGGGAAGAAGAAGGGGGCAGGAATATATTTAATTCTTACCCAGATAGCATGAAGAAACCACTGTCTCTTGAGGAGAGTGAATAAGGGGAAGGGGGAGGGAGACTGAGTTGGGGGAGGAAACAAAAAAAAAACAAAAAAAAAGGCTTGTTTTGCAGTATTAGTGAATCACTGAATATCTTATGTATGAATATCCTAAGTTATAAGTTAGTTTTAGTGGGTTTTTAAATAGTTTCTCTGGGTTTGATTTTTTTTTTTTAATAACTACATAAGTGCTTCTGTTGCTGGCTGAGAATACTACTTTATATATGATTTGGTTTTGTTTTTTGTTTTTTTTTTCTTATTTCCTGGTTTAATTGATGTATTACACCAAAAATGCATTTTATGTTCATAAAAATTTAGGTTCACTTAGAATATATTATTTAATAAGTTAAAATTCTTTTGGCACACTATAAAGTACAAAAACTTCTTTAAAAAAAAACTACCTTATATTAGATGTTTAATGTTCTTTGTCTATGCTTTTTTATTATTTTAAATATACACTATATCCAGTATGGTGTAAAAGAGTGCCCTGTGTAAATAGACCTATTTTGCATTCCTTTCAGGAGTGGTTATTGATTCCTGACTGCAGGTACCTCTTATTATTTGGGTATCTGTGCTTGCAATCTTACTGAATGTATTATGAAGAATGAAAAAGAAATCAAACCTTATTTTTGTACAGTTTTGAAGTTTTTACTTGGAACTGACCCCCCTCCCCTTCCCAGTGGAAAGCTGTACAGTGTGTAAATCTGCCTTTACCTTGGATTGGTACAGTATTTTTGCATCTGTGGGACCTACTTTTTTTGTTCTAGTAGTTTGAACTATATATAAACTGTACAATCTGTAAAGTTTTTATAGAATAAATATTCAGCTGTGAAAACTGGTTAAATAAAACTAATATTTCTTAACACATTTTAAATGTGCTTCTCATACAGTTGTCTTTTTCAAAGGCATTTCAGTTCTAAAAGTAAGAGAGTCATTTGAATTTGCAAACTGAAGATCAGAAGATCATGCTAATGCTTTATTCTGTTCTTTAGGCTCATAGCAATTTCCTTCATGAAAATTTGAAAATTAATTTATTGCTGTAAGTTATATAGATACTTTTTCTCTTAAAGAATGCAGATGAGGGAAGAAGAGGTACAGGAAATAATTCCACTGAATTATTTTGTTTACAATTATAACATTTGGTAAATGTTAGCGTTTCCTTAGAACTCTTGGGAAAACAGCCTATGTTGTGGTATACAACAAAAGGAGAATTCATAGTAGAATCTAGTCATAGTCAGAGAGAGACCTCACCTTTTACTTGTTAAATCTTTCAGCGTTTCACTCAAGTTTCCATTAGGTTCCATTTTCTGTCCCTTGTAAGAAGCGAGTCAGGATAAAGAGGATCTGTTCCAGCACAGGATGCTCTGCTGGCCGTAAGCATGAGAATTCCCCTGCAAGGGAGGATCTAACATGGGATATGGAGGATCTACCCTAGAGATTTTTAGATGAATAAAATCAATTCAAGGTGACAGCAGTGCAGTGGAAAATACCACCCTTTGCTTCATTTTTGTCACCATCAGTCCATGGCAAGGCCTGCCGTTTGCACAGGAGGATGTTCATGAGTGGGCGGCCGTGCACATAGACCCGACGCAGCTGCAGAAGGCCGGGGCTGGGAGGCAGCCCGACCAGCGACACGTCGGAGGAAGCTGCGTTTGGAACTGGTGCCTCAGGGGCCCAGGCCGACTTGGGGATGGTTTTTCTATTCTGATTCCAAGACAGAGGTGGGAGCAGCCGGTTCATGGGGAATTTTGGAACACCAGGAGCTCCTTGACCCAGGTGCAAAGGAAAAAGCAAAAACAGATGCACTATCTTCTTAAATGCGAGGGAGGAGAATTTCCTTTTTCCCCCTAAGGAAGAACACCTCCTTGCTGTATTCATCCTTCAGATGTGATAATGTAAATCACCCCAACCAGGTGAGCATCAAACTTCTAATCAAGGGTTAGTAGAATAGGGAAAAATAGTATCAAAGATAAACTTGGACTAGTTTGAGTCTCAACCTCTGCGTCTCCTGTGAGGACTGTCAGCTACCTTGTTTATATCAGTATGTATCTGGTAACTAAAAAATCTGCTCAGTTCCTTACAGACCCTAAGACGCACTGGCCCACCAAGTACTGGAGGGAAATGTGTTCAAAATTGGTGCTGGAAAGTAAAGCCACCCAAGAGCCCTGAATAAGGGGTAGGAATCTCTCTGACAATCGAGCTCTCCTCTTGAGGTTGCCAGCATCTCAGGCAGTAGCAAATCCTTACTTGCCAATCACATCAGCCTGGATTGCACATAGGCCATAGCTTTCCCACAAAAAGCTCCATCACTTTAGAGTCTGTTTCTGGAAACAAGATGACTTTTTTCCAGGTCAGGAAACAGTAGCAGAGAGCTACAGGTCGACTGTGCGGGGAATGGTTTGAAAGCCGTCCGTGTGCATGTAAGCATCCCACCCACTCGGTTGTTAGTGTGGGCAAAGAGAGAAAGCTCAGCCCTGGGTAAGATAAGATGAAGTCTCAGCTGTAGGTGACTTAGCCTTCCAGAAAAAGGTATTTTTGAAAACGCTAAAGATCTGAACTTACCTCTGGGTCTTTCCTTGCTCCCTATTTGCCTAAAACGAGGTTTTCAAAACACTTCCTACATTTAAGTTCTTCACTGGATTTCTGATAGTGCTAAAAAAGCCTGTTTTGTGCTACAGAAGTTCCTCCTGTTTGTCATTGTGCAAAGACAACTAGGGAAATTACATCATTTTAGGCAAGAGCCATTTCTTCAGATGACTTCAAAACAAACTAATCCTGCCCTCTAACTACATAACTTTACATTTGTAAATTAAATATTTTACCTAAACAACAGTGCGTACAATAGGTCTGCCAACACCTAATTTCGGGAAGGAGGCAGCGAGCAAACAGTAATGGTTGAGTAGCTGGGAGAGACCTTCTCCGGTACCTGAGGCCGGCTGTGTCCCTGGGCTGCTCGCAGCAGCGGCCGGTCACGCTCAGCCGCGGGGCTCCCTGGTGCCCTCTCGGCTCCCCGCGTGCCGCGCGGAGGAGCTGGCAGCAGCAGCTCTGGCAGCGCCGCCCTCGAGGCTGAACGGGCACCTTGCCCTCGGGCAGCCTGGGAGCGCTCTTGTGCGGAAGAGGCCACAAAAGTGCACTTTCTTTTCCAAGACATAACTAATACTTCGTGGCAGCCTCCATATGGCTCAAGATCAGATCTGTACATCCCTCAACACTCCTCTAGCCGCTACTTCGACCTTCAAACTTTTTT